GATGTTGCCCTGGCTGTCCTGGAACTTCCTCTATAGACCAGGCTGGCCTCGAACTCACAAGAGATCCACCTGCCTCAGCCTCCTCTGCCTCCTGAGTGCTGGGATTAAAGGTGTGCACCACCACTGCCAAGCTAACAGTTCATTATCTTAAAAGTTGTTATAAAATTTTCTAATGTGTCTAGCTTGTGTTCTTTTCTAAATGACTTATTTTTTTTCTCTGCATTGTTGTTGTGTCTATGTGAGGGTGTCAGATCCCCTGAAACAGGACTTAACAGACAGCTGCAAACTGCTATATGGGTACTAGGAATTGAGCCTGGGTCTTCTGGAAGAGCAGTCAGTGCTCTTAAAACCTGAGCCATGTCTCCAGTCCCAGTTTATGTTATTCTTAAGTGTCAAATCTTATTGTCCTGCTGCTAAAATCGAGTCCTATAAATATACCTGTATAACATTTACCAAAATGTCCTGACCCTCAAGTCAAACCTAAATAAATCTCAGGTTGAATTCTTATTTCTTTACTTTGCTACTTAAAAAAAAAAAAAGGTAACTAGATATAACAAAGTCCTGTAAGTAGAGGACTTTACTTCAAGCCTGCACTGTTCCAAAACAGTCCAAGCACTCTCCTCTCTTTGGCTCCTTTCAGACAAAGAGTCTCACAGATGTGGATTCTTCTTCTGGCTCAAGCATTAACCCTTTGAGTGACCTTGAAAAACTACTGTTCATCTATCTATCACCTTTCCTGCCTGCCTCAAGATGATTATACAATAGCTTTGTGTGGTCTCAGAGTCCATGACAATCAGAGGGTGGCTTACTAGACAGCTAAGTGGGAAAAAACATGAATGAACTATGGAAATATGAGGAGGAATGAATGAAAGTAGAAGAGAGACGGCAGAGGTAAATGTGGAAGGCAGGAAGGGATATTTAAGAACAATGACAAAAATAGAAGAAAAAGTGGGAGGGGGGTTCTGAAGCAACAAAGGAAAAGGAACAAGCTTGTCATTTGCCTAAGTGGTGCTTATAGAATGAAGACACTGCTCTTAGAACAGATCACAACAGGCACAGCTGCTTATGTTCACCCAGACACACTCATCCTGCCTCTGGGTTGGAATACCTCATGGGGCAAAGTTATAAGACAGCAAACTGCTCACTGCCTGCCAACCAGTTCAATTAATTTGTTGAATGCCAACTATGTGCCCAGTGTTGTACAAAGTGCTAGGACATTTACTCATTCAAACACTTGCACATGACTTTCTATGCAATATGTATGGTTCCAGATACTGAGGCTAGAGCAGGAGACAAGCACATTGCAGACATGCTGATCTCCATGATGAGATGAGACCTCCAGCCACCAGGCTGGCTATCTTAACTCTAAGGAAGAAGGCAGCTCTAATGTAAGCAGCTCTTGGCTTAACTAGACAGCCAGGGAGTTCTGTATATAGTTGTTACCTGATGGTATGAAGACAATATTGATGCCAAATATAGTGTGGGTCAGCCAGGTGTACAATCCATAGAAGCCAGCCATTTTGAGGGAAGCATCAAATACCCCTCTAGAAGACCCAAAGAGAAAAGGAAAGGTAAGTAATCCCGGGATCATATTACGGTTCAGAAAAGTCATCACCTCTGGGTTTCTGGCAACAAATTCCAAATCTGGCAACAGCCCATCTCTGAGAATGCTATTTACTTTATTACAACACTGGAACCCGAGTTTCTAAGCTGCTCTTTACATATCTCTCTGACGAGTAGATAGGTAAACAACACATCCTCAAATAGTTTATTCACTGGAATAACTCACCACCTTTCCACTCCTGGAGGCAGGAGCAGTGTCAAATTCAAATTCAGGGCCTCATGCATGCTAAACAAGCACTCAACTGAGCTACAAACCCAGAACAACTTTTTTTTTTGCTTTGCTTTTTGAGACAGGGTTTCTCTGTGTAGGCCTAATTATCCTGGAACTCACTCTGTAGACCAGGCTGGCCTTGAACTAAGAGATCTGCCTGCCCCTGTCTCCTGAGTGCTGATATTGAAGGCTGCCAGGCCAACTTTCCACTTCTAAAGCATATATTATCTGGGTAACAATTATATTTCATAAGTATAAATAGCATGTGTCTAAAGACAGAATTTAGTCCTAAGAAATCCAAGCTTCATCCAGTCCACATTCAGAAAAAACAAGTGAGGTTGGGAGTATAGCTCAGTGGTAGAGCAATGTTTGCACACTCCACACCAGGTCCTGGTTTCAAGGCCCAGAACAGAAGGGAAAGAAGGGTAAGATGGAGTGCAGAAGGGCAATGGGGGGAGAGAGAAGGGAAAGTAACAGAAGGAGAAAGGGAAGGGCCAGAGAGGAGTGAGGAATAGTCTACCTTAAACTCTGACAATTTTCCTTTTGACAGCATTTTCACACATTTCTCTATGCAACCAAGATTACACAGTAACTTCTGGTATTAAATAATGTAAGTCATCTGGGAGATGCACTGTTACTAACTACAGGGTAAAACCAGGCAGGAAAATACATGGAGTGAAAATAGGCATAGATCCTGTTGTTAAATCTTCATATGGTGCATGAGGGTGCTTCATTTCTGCTTTTCCGTTGGAAGAGAATAAGGCAGCCCTGTGTGGAAAAGGCAGCAGCCTCAAGTAACCTCAGGTACCACAGAACCACAGAGCCCTGGGCTCTGTAGGGACGGACATTCACAAGACGGTAAAGCCGTCACTGAAAAAGAGGATGGTGACAGCAAAGGTGACACTGCACACAGAAGAAAGTGAAGGCTTTCTACAAAGACTCCAGGAGGGAGGTTCCCAGAGTAAAGGCTAGATCAGCAGTCTGGTGACTCTGTCATCTACTAAGGCTCTGAGACATGGTGTTAAGAATAGTTCCCCATCTGTAAAACCATTGCTACCTTTACTAATGGTGTCATTCAAAAATGTGGCATGTGACTCACAGCAAAGACCCAGATTTAAATTTATCAAAAAGACAGAAGGAGAGGAGTCACCCCATAGGAAACAAAGAAACTGAAGTGTCCAAGAAAAAAAAATGAAAGGGAAAGAACTGAAACATGGTTAAGGAGAGAAGAAAGAAAGGGAGAGTATCTGGCCTGGAAAGGTGAGTTCAAAGAACAATGCAAACATCTGGGAGGAGGTAGAAATAAGAGACAAGGGTTAGCAGGCATAAAGTGCAGCACTCCAACTACAGGAAGGGAAAGGACACCCTCAAGGGGGCAAGCATGGAGAGGAAGAGGAAACAGGCTGTGTTCTCAAAAGACCTGAGGACAATGATACATCAGCCAAAGAGGGCATGGAATCATTTTTGTGGTAGCAAATCACCAGGGTGCCAGCATTATCAGAGACCACAAGACAAGGAGTTGGGCAGGCCAAATAACCACATCAGCTACTGCTGTGAGGGGAAGCGGGGCTTGATTAGAATTAGAGAAGGGCCAGTGTGAACAGGTGTACATGTGGCCTTACAAGTTTTCACAGTAAAACTAAGTTGGCACCAAGTATGCAGTAAAGTATCTCAACTGAGGCCCCAACACCAGCTCAACCTGAAACAGACCACTTGTGGACGAGCACAGCCTCTTTCCTCCCACCTGAACGGGGGTTGTATGGAACAGTCATTACAGCAACTTTTAGCTCATCTGTGGGCCCTAAGCACTTGCACTACACATTGTTCACAGTTACCAAGCATATTCTACAGCCTACTGAGGGACAAAATAATCTGCTGCCTGAACTGGTTTGCTCAGGACCTGGCATGTATGAATTAACAGGCAGCAGAGCAGCACACTCTAGGAACTTACTAGGAGAGAGAACATTTTAATGCCCTCAGATCTTTCTTGCACCATCCAAAAAGACCAAGCCCTGCCCCTATCTTCATTTTAGGACTTCTGGCCTCCCAAGATAAAAAATTTGTGTTTTTAAAATACTGAGTTCATAACAATTTGGTATACTACCAACACAAAGCAAATACAACTTTTTATTTAAACTGTAAAGTAAAGGTTAAATGAACATGAACCTGTAATGCTAAACTTATCCTCACTCATCTCCCAAATTCAGAAGCTGGGAAGTGGGCATACAGCTCAGGGGTAAAACACTCATCAAGCACATGAGGCCCCAGGTTCAAACATTAGCATTTAAAAATAATCACAATGCATTTACAATTAAACCATCACGAGTACCCATCAATGACCAGATACCACAGCCCAGAAAAACAAAATCTGAAGTACAGCCTAGAGCTGCACACAGACATGTACTATCTGATATAGCATATTTCATGAACACGAGGGGATATAGCTCAACAGTAAAGCTTGTGAAGAATATGTATAAGGCACATACATGTACACCCCCCCCTCACACACACACTCACTCACACATACACTCAAAGACTGATAATAATTTGTTATCCTAATCAAAGAAAAGCTTATCTGGCACTAACTAATGAACTGCACACAATTGTGCACAATACAGTTAAATGGGCTAGTTGATTCCATACTGTAACAACAAAGTTTATAATGAAAAATCATTTCTTTCCCTTATTGGTGCAAATTAATCCATGTCTTCTTTGGATAGCCAAATGCAGTGTGCACGTTTACATTGTTATCAAGGAAAACCAGTATGATACACATCATCCAATCTCTTTCAAACCATCAGACTCAGACTTGTGGCAGTTCTTAACCACAACTGTGTAACTTCTGTGCTCTGTGATGTCAAAGTGTCAACAGGCATTCCCTTCTACACTGCTCACCATTACCAAACACCCTCCAAAAAGGTTGAAACAAAGTCTGCATCATGGCCACCACCCTAATGATCATGTGCTACCCAGTTTCCCTTCAGTCTTAAGCACTTCCTCTCCCCCTCCCCCCACCACCCCGCCCATTTTAGGGAAAGGGTTGTTGCTTGTGCTCAACCTTCTAGGACTGTTTTATCCCTGGTGATTTTTTTAAGCATTCTGGGAACTCTTTCATTAACTGTGTCTCCAGGCATTCCTAGCACTCAGCAGTCGACAAGAATCGAATCCAACACCAGTGTTGGTGACACACGCCTTTAATTCCAGTACTCAGGAGGCAGAGGCAGGTGGATCTCTGTGAGTTCAAGACCAGCCTGGTCTACAAGAGCTAGTTCTAGGACAGCCTCCAAAGACACAGAAAAACCCTGTCTTGAAAAACCAAAAGAAAAACAAACAAACAAACAAAGAATCAAATCCAGGACATGCTAGACGCGTTTCTCCCCTCTTCTGACAGTTCAGCTACCAACGAAGAAGAAACTGACAGCAGCCATTGAGGTGTCTTTTCTAACAAGACCACTTCCCTCTTCATACTTTTCATCATTAAACACAGACACCATAGCTACAAACCTCACTTCCCAAAGGCAGGACATAGTACTCCAGTCCAGCTATGCTCCATGTACACAAACATAGCTGTGGAAGAGAAGCTCCAAAAATTGTGCACAGCCAGCCTTCCTTTCCTCTGCCCCTTTGCTTTTCCCTAATAAGGCTAAGAATATTTGTACTGAGTCACAATAAAGATGTGTGTCTCCTGCCTCATTCACACACTCTGTCTCAGCTGTGAGCCCTCTCCCATTCCTAACCAATGGGAAGTCATCATTTTTCTAAAGTGAAGCAGAAAAAGACAATACAACTCTGATTAGTCAACCTGCTATTGAAATGAAACCTGAAGCAAATTGTAGACAGAGAAAGACAAACCACAGCTCAGAAGTGCTATGTACTTGGAGCAACACACACCACAGACAAGTAGCAAGCACACATCTAAGAAAGAAAACAGAAAATGAGTCAAGTCCAAAATCCCTCCCCACCTACTCCACATGTCTTGTACATTACTTCCACCCTTTGGCTCTAAAAATCAAACAGAAAGAAGAGCAAACTATAATTCTTCAGGAAGCATCCACTTTGGATGCTCCACCTTAGCTACCATCCTCCCATGGGAACTCTACCCTCAATGTAATACAGTGTGCCTCAAATAGAGAATAAACCAGTGGAGGGCAATAAGCAGCAAGAAACAGAGTGTAACATTCTGACTGAGGATGGCACCAGGGCCCTCGATCACTGGTGTATCACCATTTCTTCCAATTCATATACTGTGAAGCAGAAATTTTAGTTTTAACAAATTGAAGGTCCGAGTCAATCCTAAATGTAGCCAGTCTATTGATCCATTTTTCAACAACTCAGATAATCATCAATGTATTTCTAAAAAAATATTTTAATTAGAACATACAATTATATTTAAGAGGCAGTGCTATTGTACAATTAATAGACTACAGGTTAAACATATAAAGAGGTAAGAGGGAAATTCAAAACTTCCTGTCTTGCTTTATTGCATTATCTACTTTAAGACAATAGTCTGACAGTCTGCAAGCAAATGCAGGGTATCTCCTAGTATGCACCTGTACACCTAACCTCTATTACATCACCACCCTACTTCCCCGTCTCCAGCTTCACTTGCCTCAGAGACTGGCTCCACAGTCAATGCACACAAATCTAGCAACAACAGATTTCCAGTGTGAGAGTCAAGGTCATGGCTGTGAACTTGGCCCCAGAGGCTGCGGAGCAGTCCTGGGAAGCAGAGCTGCACAAGGAACAGCTGAGAGTCACAGCTGAGAGTCACAGACAGAAGTGTCCAACTCTGGACACCATCTGAAGACTCTGGCAGTAGTAACATACATTCATTCAGAACTTTTATATAACTAATATTACAATATACATTTTGTATCCTTACTGGTTATGAATGATTAATGCTTAAGCTTTTTAAAAGGTTTCAACTAAATAAATAATAGTAGACATCTGTACCAAAAATTTTTATTTTAAGCTGAACAAAACACATGCAGCAAGTATCACAATGAGAAACCACATACAAGAAAGGCTATTTTCCTTTGAACCTAATAAACATTTAAATATATAACACTAACCTTTAATCACTCAGTTAAGAGGCATTATTTGTTCCAGATAATTTAATTTCCCCAAATATGAATAAGAAATTCTGTCTCTTTATATCAGTGCTATGACATCTCAAATAAAAATATTCCACCCTTTTTTTTTTTTGAGATTTTCTTTGGTCTTGCTATGTAGCTCAAACTAATCTCAAAACTAATCTTAAACTCACTATGTAGTTCAAACCAGGATAGAACTTATAACAATTCCCCTGCCTCAGCCTCCCAAATGATAGGATTACAGGCACATGCCACCACATCCAGCTTAAAAACACTTCTGAAAAAAAATAACTGTAGCTGGAGGGCAGTAGCACAAGCCTTTAATCCCAGCACTCAGAGACAAGCAGATCTCTGTGAATTCAAGGACAGCCTGGTCTACAGAGCAAGTTTCAGAACAGCCAGGGTTTCACAGAGAAACTCTGTCTCAAAAAAGCCCCCCCCAAAAATAAACAAATATATAAAATGACTTTATATTCATTGTTGCACATTTTACTCTAAACATGTATTATTTACAACTTTAAATCTATGAGAATTTTGTTCAGTTGGCAATTCATTAAAATTTGAAACTGGAAGCATCAATTTACTTAAGGAATAACACTAACTAAAAAAAGAACACTTTCACTTTCAGAATTGGGGGAAGAGGTAGAAGATGTCCATTCTCTGAATCAAATCTCACATTTAATTCATCACCAGGAGTTCCACCCTCCAGCACGGAAAAGCTGTAATCCCAGCAAGCAAGAGCCATACCCGTGCATGCACTCACGTGAAAATATCACACACACTAAATTGCACTGAGGCCGTGACAACATGCAACTTAGTAATGTGCAATATCTCCACCAGAGCAAGCAAAATGGGAGCATCGGGGAGAAGGGTGTGATGTGTGCATTCAGGAGACAGCATGCTGCTAAAGGGAGGAAAATGGTTGGGGATCCAGGATGCATGCCACAAACTCAAAAACCCGCGATGAAATGAAAACTCAATGAGAAGTGACTCAAGTTGAAGGAACATGGATTTAGAATTAAAATGATAAAGATCCAAATGTCAAGGCCACGGTGATCACAAATGAACCACACAGTTCAGAGGGCAAAGTTCCCGGGATACACTTCTGCCTATCATGCAATGAGCCACTAATCTCATTCCACTTGTAATTCATTAAAGTATCATATAAAATTAATTTAATGATTTTTCACTTGACCATACACTGATGACTATTTATAAAATTGGTGTCACTGTGCATTTACTACACTGCAATTTTCTTAATCATTTACCTATTCTTCTTTTTAATCTTTACCCACAAAGAATTATATACCCACTTGAATAATCCTTCAGAATAAAAATTCTTACTTGGGCTCTTAGAAATGGCTCACTGACATTTTCCCTCCTAAAGACACCTGACAGGAGTCCATGCAGAGCCTGAACCTGTTGAGTCTTTGTTATAAGCTTGTAAAGAAACAGCACATAGGAGCCTGCAAAAGCCCACTTAGTTACAGCTGAAAATGGGCTGCCCAAGATTTAAGCCCACCTTTCAGACCTGAGACACAACAGTGCTGACACTAATTCCTCCCCCCCCCCCTCACTAAATGATGAAACCCAACATGCTACTCAGGAATCAGAGATAGAGAGGGGAGGATATCAAGCTCAAAGCCAGCCTGAGTGACAAAGCAATAGCCAGTTTCAAAAAGACAAGAGAGAGACAGGGGTATGGAGAGTGCGGAAGTATCCTGTATAAAATTAAGCAACTCAGTGTCAGTCAGAAAGTTGCTTTCTCTGAGAAAGCCACATAAGAACATTCCAGAATTGTAAGTGGAGGAAGGCAAAGCTTCTGTGGGAACAAGGGTGCCAATGGAGGCTCCTGAAGAAAGCTAGAGCACTGCTGGTCTTTAAAAGCTCTTCCTGGGCAATGCACCTGTCTCCCATACAGTTTGGCCTCAGTCATACTAACGAAAGGACTGGCGCCAGCCTTTGAAAGGGCTATTTCAATGGCTTATGCTACTGGGGAGAGAGAAGGGTTATTTTGGGTTTTTTGTTTGTTTTCCTTTTGGTAGAAGAATATTTGCAAAAGTATTTTTTAAGCAGATAAACAAAAGATAGCCTATTGCTGAAATTTTCATCATTTTATTCATCCAATAAGGATGCCAGAGGCACACAGACTCGGAAGCGTTGTTAAAACTATTTCTCTAACAACCACTTTGAAAGTTGCAGTGTTAGGTAATACACTCCCAACATGGAATCTCTATATGATGTCTGCACGGACACTCAAAGGTCCCAGACAGGTAATAAGAGCAATTTTTCAAAATGCCAAATGACATGTAGCTCTGTGGATCAATATAGTGCACTAGACTTCTAGTGATGAAAAAAAAAAAAAAAAAAAAAAAAAAAAAACAAAACTAACCCAATTCAATCAAAGAGGGAATATTGAAGAAGACCTTCCCCAAGCTTCGCAAGCAGGAATAAAGGAAAGCTGGTGGCATCTCCAGGCATGATATACTTTAGGAGTCAACAAACTTTTCTGCAATATAACTGAGGGCTTCCAAAGATCACTAGCTGTTCTCACTAGCTGTTCCATGAGTACAGTGGAAAGGTAGCTAGGAGAACTCAGACAGGACTTCCAGGTCAGTTCACGGTACCTGTGGATGACTAGTTCCAAAGAATGACACCTTTTGGAACTATGTAGAAACAGAAATGTCGAAGATTCTACTATGTAACTGAGTTTAAGACCACTTAGCTAACGACTTGGTGTCACTGAACATTTACGGAATAAACTGCATTTTTCATAATGTTTGTCTACTCCTTAGTAGAAAGAAGGGTCTGATGGGTGGCACAACTATTTACACTTCAAGTAGTTAGGTATCCACAAAAATAAGACTATATTGTCCTCCTACTAAGCAATGAGACATAGGGCAAGGAAAGTGGCTAAAGAGGCCTAGGCCGAAAATGGCAAAACCTTACCAAAAATAGAGGGAAAAAGAAGCACCAAGGAGCCCAAGGGGTGATAAATGGAAGAATCTATTAGAAACTGAGCCTGCAATACATGAATTCTAAAGGCAGGCTTCATGGACGTTTTTGGCCAGATACAATGCAGAGACTTAGAGATAACTAAACACTGCATTTCTAATAGCCATCTTATCCCTGAAGAGGGCACAGCTTGGAACAAAGAGAAGAGGCAGGAAAGTCATCTACCCACAGCCTAGATCCAAGCTAGAACTCCTGAGAAAAGGGTCCTAAGGATGTGAAGACTGTGTGCAGAAGATGGGGGTTCTGCCAAGGAGGTGAAGACTGTGTGATGGAAGATAGGGGTGCTCCTGATCAAGTGACATGATGATGGCATCCGGACTAAGAGCCTGTTGATGAAAAGCCCATCTTTAGACAGACATATGTCTTTGTAAACCACAGGCAGCAGAGTGGAGTGGCAAACTCCTTGGAACTTTTCCTCAAAGCACATGCACAGTTTCTAGGACTTTCTTAAAGTGAGACATGGGTCTTGAAAACATCAACATCCTTCACTAGTTCAACACTGACCATTTCTGTAAAGTACAAGGAAAGTAACTGGGATGTCACAGAAAGCTTACAAAGGAGCAAAAACAGCATAAGCCTTGTCCCTACCTGATAGCTTCTTCCACAGACTGGCCAATAATATTAGAAGAAGGACCTGGCTGAGACAGTGGTGTCAGGCTTATCACCCACTTCACTGGCTTGTAGTACTCATCACTGGAACTTAACAGATAAAACAGTGTGGTCAGGAAAATTATCTGCAAAACAAAGGACAGTATCTCTTAAAAGATCACATTTGGAAACGTATAGAAGACACACATGCACAAATACAGAGCCCAGAAACACACTGCAATGCACAAGGAAATACAGTGTGTGCTATCAAGATGTACATACCAGGGAAAGCACGAAATTGAGAAGGGCAGTGCCACTGTAGAAGAGGATGGTCAGCAATGTGGTAACAGTGGTAAACAGCAAGCTCACATTCCGGCTCATAACAATCCACAGGGACTCCAAAATCTGAGGGAGAAGGACAGCTGGGGTCAAAACTAATCCTCACGAAGGAAGTAGCTACAGCCATCTAGTGTGCTTTTAGTGCACTGTCTTGTTAGCAATAAATGAAAAGGTAAAAAAACTGTGCTTACCTTAAAGGTTAAAAAAAAAAGCAACCAGAAACATCTATATTCAATAGTAAAGAAAATGGCTAAGTAGTTACAGTGAATCCACTCCAAACAACACTAGGCAACTATCAGAGATATTTTATTATATTTTATTGTATTATGCTGGTTTTTGTTTGTTTGTTTTGCTTTGGTTTTCCAAGACAGGGTTTCTCTGTATAACAGCCCAGGCTGTCCTGGAACTTGCTTTGTACATCAACCTGGCCTTGAACTCACAGACATCCACCTGCCTCTGCCTCCTGAGTGCTGGGATTAAAGGTGTACACCACCATACCCAACTTCTCTTATGCTGTTTTTAAAACACAGAATTTTTATATATTCCACAACCCTTAACTGTAAAAGACAGAACATATATGTATGTCTACAGAATAATATGTGACTATACTCTCTATTTTGGAGGGTTGTAAGTGCAGGTCACTCATTATATTAGTGTTGGTCCTCTACCCTTACCATCTCCAACTCAGATTCAACTATAAATATAATGTATTATTCAAAAGCATCAATGACAGAGCCTTTCCTGGGACCGACTGACACTACTCAGTTCATCTATTACTTATAAACTCATGAGAACTAGTTATTAAGATAGTTGTGCGTATGTTAGATGCAACATATGATTCAAGAAAGATGTCTTTGTCTCATCACACCTCCATATTTTCATTTCTTGTCCCTTGTCAACTAAAACCCCTTACAATGGCTGTTCTATTCTTCCCAAGTAGGTTCTTCCTCCTGATAAAAAAAACATGGGAGCAAAAATCCAGCTGTGAGGGAAGCAACGTGAAGGGCTTTATCTCAACTTCACAGACATATGAACTCAATCACAGAGGTCTGCTGTATGTAGCTGGGACGGTAACCCTGACATCTGCATTCCACTTTGGTGCCTTTTTAAGACAGCAGCTCTGGTCCTGTCACATGCTCAAGTTACGACATGCAGTCTATGTGAGGCCTGTCCATTCCTTTCCCACCTCAAACACACCAATTATAAAGGACATTCTGTTGCACTCAGAATGTCATGCAAGCCTCAGTTCAGTCTTCCTAAGAGAATTCAACAGACAAGCTTCATTTACAAAAACTCCTTACAAAAAAACTTTGAAAATACTTCGTTATGCCTACAAAAATATGCATGATTAACTGTTTGACCTTGTGGGATAAAGAATGAATGAACAAAGCCACTGATTCTAAGAGACAATGCCTGCATTTGTGATTTGGCAAGCATCCTTCTGGGGGCCTCAGTCACTCTGGAATTTTTAATAAAAAAATTTACATAGTTTCTGAGTCACAGAAATAGAAAACACCCTCCTGTAATTCTTAAGAAATTAAATGAATACAGCAATTGTAGACTGATAGTCTCCAACAACAGCCCAGTAACCATTTTTACATGAAAGAGATCAACTAGAGAGGACAGTTCTGGAATGTTAACCCAATCATCAAAGAAGAACTTTAGTTTAATCACTAGACTTGGAAAGGATGGTATCAGCATAGGCAGGATCAGGAAGAAGCCCACAAAACTCAGAAAAATGCAACTAATTCAAAGAAGCAAAAATGCATCCCAACTCTAAAATACCAAACATGACCCACGCCTGGCATTAATTTAATCCACAGAGGCAACATAACCAAAAGGATGCCTAAAACTGAGTCCCTGGCCATGAGGCCAGAGGAGACTCACAATCAGTTAAGCAACCTGGTCACAGCAGGCAGTTAGAATGAACAAGGTCCTCAGCATCCTCCTGCTTTACCCTCCCCTCCTCAAGTCTACTGACATACAATCATCCCTGGCTCTCTTTTGGCTTCTTGGGTACTTCGGAGCTCACCTGCTATGGAATCCAAGAAGCACAAAGCAGCAGCTTAAAAAAGTAGAAAAATACAATACTGCAGGGATGCAAGGGTTAAAATAAGAAAGTATCTCTGCGGTGGTTTGAAAGAAAATGGTCCCCATAGGGAGTGGGACTATTAGGAGGTGTGGCTTTGTTAAAGTGGGTGTGGCCTTGTTGAAGGAAGTGTGACACTGTGGAGATAGGCTTTGAGGTCTCCTCTTTTCAAGCTACATTCAGTGATATACACTTCACTTCCTGTTCCCTGAGGATCAAGATGTAGAACTCACAGGTACTTCTCCAGCACCATGTCTGTTTGCATGCTTCCATGTCCCACCATGATGATAATGGACTAAACCTCTGAAATTGTAAGCCAGCCCCAAATTAATTAAATTTTATTAATTTAAAAAATTAAATGTTTTCCTTTATAAGAATTGCTGTGGTCATGGTGTCTCTTCACAGCAATAGAAATTCTAAGACAAACTCTTTCCTGCAAAGATGGGAGTTATCTCCCTGTCAGTCTAGGAGCCCAGAGACATGGGTTACATGAGTTCCACTGACCTTTTCTGGTTCATCTCCCTGATCTACACTTCCAGGAAAGGAATTGCACCAGGAGGTCTCAATATACTGTTTCAGCTCTACCACTGTTCTTTTAACCACAAAAATAAAAAGGCAAGCTGTAATACGCCTCTTTTCATTAGTTTAGTTGACAATCTAACACCAGGCTATAACCTAAAGTAGTGATAAAGAATTAAAATCTAGTGAGGGGACCTGGAGAAATGGCTCAGCAATTAAGACCACTGGCTTCGAGCAGAGCAATGGTGGTGCACACCTTTATTGTCACCATTCGGGAGGCAGAAGTAGGCAGATCTCTGTGAGTTCTAGGCCAGCCTGGCGAGTTCCAGGACAGCCAGAGATCTTACACAGAGAAACTCTGTCTCAAAAACAACAACAACAACAACAACAAAAGAAAACTGACTACTCTTATAGAGAACCCAGGTTCGGGTCACAGCACCCACATGGTGGCTCATAACCATCTGTAACTCCAGTTCCAAAGGACCTGATGCCCTCTCCTGACTTCCACAGGCACCACATACATGCTTGCAGGGAAAACACTCATACATATACAATAAAAATAAATAAGCCTTTAAAATTACATTCATTCAGAAAGACTGAGCATCCAAATTGAAAAAGATAAAATATACTAAAGTATCCAATAAGGGTGAAAACAATAAACTAGGAGGAATCTGAATGTAGGGGAAGCTCCATGTGTTCTGAAATACCCTAGGGGGAATCTGAGGAACTTGCCAAAAAAAAAAAAAAAATCAGAAAAGAAACGAAAACTGGGTGTATAGAGCAAACCTTTGATCCTAGCACTCAGGAGACATAAGAGGGCAGATCTCTTTCAGTGTGAAGCCAGCCAGGGCTACAAAAGAGACCATGCCTCAAAAAAACAAATAAAGCAAAGGATGAAACACAGACAGAAAAGTGTGAAATGAGATCCAGAGATTCCCTGAGGACCAAACATGTTCTAAAAGATCACACATGCTATACAAGAACCTGGTCCCTGAAGCAAAGAAAAGGAAAACTGAATATAAATGTTAACTGCTTACTATCACTGAGTCTGTTACTAAAACAAGAGCAGTTTCATCAGCTTCTTAGGAACTTGAGGAGTAAATTAGAAAATATTTATAAAGCATCTAGCACAGTACTTGTCATAAACTAGGGATGAGGAGATGGCTTGGTGAATAGAGTGCGTAGACCAGCTTAGATCCCCGGAACCCAAGTAAAAGCTGAGAGAAGAGATGGACTCCATGAGGAAACAGTAAGCTCAGAGGAAAGGCATAGCTGTGAGTGAGTGGGGGAAAAAAAAACATGCAACAGACTTGCTACCAGGTAGACACTTCCTCAAAAATACAGTGACACCTTAAGGAACAACTCTGAGAGCTTTCACTGGATACAAAATCTGAATTCCCCCTTTAAAAAAAAAAATCTCATTTTTTAAAGAAATTTTAATAGGCTGTTTCAAAAAGTTCTTTAGTTCTGAAGAGAGAGGCAGTGATCTCTCAAGAATGTGATTTATAATATTGTTCAATAAACTTTCAGTATTCTGAAGGTATGCAGATATGAACAAACTAGTATCCTGAATAACAAATGTGTATTACCAAAGCATACAAGGGTAAAATAAACATCTTTAACCAAAACTGGCCAATGGACTTTAATAAACCAGCATATATAAAGCTTAATAACAGTGTCACACCTCACACCGCACAGACCTTTTAAAACTAGCACATGCTGAGTTCTGGACAGTTCCAAAGACTTCCCACAGTTACAAACTGGGAAAGCTTCTTTTTCTCAACTATCCATACAAGACCCTCCAAAGGATGGGGAATAGGGTGCTCAGTTCACGGTCTCACTGGTGAGCTTCCCTCTCTGTGTGAGAATGGATGTTCTTCCCATGCATTGGCCAAATTTAACAGAACCCAATAGACTGACTGTAGAGCAAAGGTGAAACCCAGACATCCAATTGGTTTGTGCAAATTAGGAGGCCTTACTTAACTCTCCTATAGTTTTCTATAGAGATAACTTCCCAATATTTCTTCATCTTAGAAAACAGTATTGTGTATGTGTGCACTTAGGTGTGTGAACACGTGCGTTTGTGTATGCATGAAAATGGAGGCCAGAGGTGAACATCAGGTGTCCTCCTTAATTACTCTCTACTTCCTTATTTTGAGGCACCTGTAAAACTGCACCTGCAGTACACTGACTCACATAGACTGCTTGTCCAGCACAACCCCAGATCTGCCTGTCCTGGCATTCCACCCACCCCCACCCAGTACTGAGGGTAAAGAAGTGTGCTTCCACCTCCGACTTTTACATGAGTGTGGAGGATCTGAATTCGGGTCCTCATGCTTGTGCAGCACTTTTTCAACTAAGCCATTTCCTCAGCCCCAGAAAGTAGTATTTTTTAACACACTAAAGTATATTCTTTGCATTATAATGAAAAATTATTTAATGAATAGATAAATATGCACTTTGAAGTCCAGTACTAAAATCTTTGAGAACCACTGGGCTAGTAGAGGTACAGGGAAGGGGCTATCAAAACAGAATAGTTGAGTACACTGTCAAGTGCCCATAATATGAAGAACCTCGGAGAATAGAGCGGGAGGTTTGCTTGAAGCCATAAGCACAGGGACAGCCTGGGAAACGTAGTTAAGTCCCCACTCCTTAATTAAATAAATTATTAATTAAAACATAAAAAAAAGAAAGACGTCATTTTTCAGATTTCATTCCAGATTGAGAAGCACCTCAGCTGAGTGAGAGGAAAGGAAGCATGTGAGTGCAGGGAGGTGGCTGAGGGAGCTGTGAGGAACCCCAAGAGTCAGAAAGCACTGAAGGGTTTGGAAGAAAAGTCACATCTTTACCTTCATCTTCCATATTTGGAAGCCAAAAGATAATATCTAAAATGGCAAAACACAAGAAAGAGCAATGTAAACATCACTTAAGCAAGAAGGCTGCCCTGCAGCAGACAGCTAGTCCTGAGCCCAATGTGTGGAAACACAGGATGCCCTGCTTTCAGCTCTGATCGTGGATTGCTTTACTAAGCTCAAATTCCTTAAAACTTAGTACTGTGAGCCTCAATTCATTTTAATTTGATGAAAGTCACACATATATTCATTCACAAGAAAAATCTCTGTGAAAAGTCACATGTTAAGACACTTGACAAAAATCATCTCTGGGAAATGAAGGGAGGTAATTAACATTCAGCAGGGGTGTAAGGGTACAAGGGAGACAGAGTATAGTAGGTGTCGTGTTAGGAGCCTTTACAGTCTGTGGTGGTCTGAAAAGAAATGGCCCCTGTATGCTCATGTGTTTGAATGCTTGGCCTCTAGAGAGTGGCAATATTAGGAAGTGTGGCTTTGTTGGAGTAGGTGTGGCCTTGCTGAAAGAAGCCTGTCACTGTGGAAATGGACTTTGAGGTCTTAAATGCTCAAGTTACACCCAGTACTTCTGCTGCCTATGTATCAAGATGTAGAACTCTCAACTTCTCCAGTACTCAACTTCTGCCTGCACACTGCCTTGCTTCCCATCATGATGATAATGGACTAAAGCTCTGAACTGTAAGCCAGCCATATTAAATGTTTTCCTTTATAATAATTGCTGTAGTCATTGTGTCTCTTCATAGTAATAGAAACCCTAAGACACAGTCAGCCTTCTAACGTAACTGGAGCCCTATTTCAAGATGTTAGGGGCTTTGCCAACCAGAAAAAAATGGGTCTATCTCTAATGGTCCAGCTGAGGACATTCTGGTGACCCTGAGGGACGAAGACACCCAGATCTAAGACTTAGAGTCCACAGGTTTGTTCATGTGCTGCAGGATTCAATCCAGCATCTCTCAGGTGTTCTCACCCTGCACGGCAAATGCCAGGGGAGCCAACCTGAGAACCGCAGCTTCTGGATAGCTTTCTAGTTTAAAGCTGCCAAAGCCTGTCCATTTCACAGTATTCAAAGCAGGGTAGTCGAAGAGACTAATGTAAGAAAAGCTACAATTACAACTTTTTTTTTATTTCCGAGTTCAGTTCAACAATAAGTAATATGTCTTACCGAAAGGAATGTTTCGATGTTCTCATGAACAAAGGAGGCAATATCTTGCCAGTCCAGAATATCTCCCAACCAGCTGTTCTGACGACTCACATGCATTTTGTGCCCTTTGTGCCTTCCAGAGTGTGTCACGTTCTGTGGAACAAAGCCAGTGACATGTGAAATTTCCATCTTAAGGCATCCAAAAAATAAATGTCTCTTTTGTTTTATTCCTGCTTATACATACTTCAGGAAGTACTTGCCTATGAAAATCCTTGCAAATTTAAGATATCAAGTAAGGGTGCAGTCTAAAGACTGAAAGCCCAGTATTTCTGCATTCATGTTCTAGGTACTGTGTCTAGCATGATACACATGCTTCCCTCCTAGCTTTGAACTTACAATAACCCCCCATTCCCCCGTGTGCAAAGAACCCAAAGAGTTCATATAAATCTTCATTTCCTTCAGCATCTCCCATCTTTTCTTGGCTTCCTACCTTTGCATCTTTCTCCTTTCTCAATCATCTACACAAGGTAAAAGTGAAGAGAGAAGAGACTATTTCAAAGAACCAAATGAGTGGGGGGGACAGTCAAATTTATCTGTCTGAAAGAAATTTACACAGGCAAGAAACACTGAATTTGAAAGGGAAATTAATAAACAAAATGAGGTTAAGATTGAGAAGCAAGCTCTTAATATTTTGTGTGCCCTCCATTTTTCCACCTTTGAATACAGCATGTTTTATCAGTCTGCTACACCGTGAGAGTAGGGAAAAGAACATGTCACCATCCCATGTACAGACAGATCTATGCTCAATCCAGCACTCCAACAACAAGGGCTCAAACAGGGTGAGGGACAAGAAAAGTTACATATTAAGAAGCTCCAGTGTAAACTCAGGAAACTAGTAAGATCTTTCTAACTGCTCAGCTCCTCTGACAGAATCAAAGAGAAAATACCCCATCTCACACACCACTATTAGCTTTGACCCTCAAACCTTCACCACCTCACCAAAGGCAGTATTATTCCCTCAGCTCACCTCAGGGCAAGGCTACACACTGTGAAACATGTCATTAAACAAGAAACTGGAATGCAACTACCCTTGCATCCTCTTTTTACGTTAACCCTGGAAAAAACAGCAGTTCTGGCCCACTATTCACAGAACGTGGCCCTCAGCAGCCCACCAGACCTGGCATATACAGAACTAGGCAACAGACCCACTGCTTTCCAAAATCACTGTTCATGCTTCGTGGTAGCTGTACTTGTTCCCCCATAAACCTAAAGCAAGAGTACACAAGTATACGCAACACACAAAGTTGACTGGAAACAAAAGTCGCTAAACTTCAGATCCATTTCTGTCTCTTCAAAGAGAAAGGTTTTCAATGTCTAGAATTCTCCTGTCCCTAACAGCAGCGACTAGCCTACTGAGCTGTGCTGCTGGTGCAAAATGCACACTATAGAGTTCAAATACTTAGTTGTTTTAGGCACATAAAATACCAAATGTTTTTATTAAGTATATACTGAAATGGCAGTGAAGAAGGACACTGAATTAAATGAAATATATTATTAAAATTAATTTCATCTATTTTTAATCATTTAATATTCTTGCCTGTGTTTAGTTACTTAATGCAGCTACTAGAAAGATTAGTATCACATATGTGGTTTGCAGAAGCTTGGGGTGCAGCTCAGTGGCAAGTCTTGTGCTTATTAACACATGAGTTCAATCCCCATCACCATAAATGCATAAACAGACATGGCCTGCATTACATCTGTATTGTACCAAACTACCAGAAGAAGAGATGCTTTGATATGAGCAAAAGATGGAACACTGATACCCCAGAAAGGCTAACAGGGTATGCCAACAATGGAAGCTGACAAAGGCTTAAGATCTTGCTGCTGGGAAGTTAAAGTAAATGAAATTCCAAAGTTAGTAAAGTCCTATATTCAAATAGTGTATAAAACAAAACAGTGTTATTAATTACTATGGAAACTCATAGCTGAAAGAACTTACCTTTACAAACCAAGAGTGATACAATCTGTCCCACAGTTCTAGAACTTGCTTCTCAATCACAGCTGTATTGTTCACCTTATCTCCCAGAATTTTGTGAAGCTAGGGAAAAAAATACAGGTATAATCTGATTAATATTTTAAGAAACAATTCAATATGATTAATACATGCTGAGTCTTTAACTGTCCCAAATCAAATTAAAATAATCAACTATTTAAAAATCTCTAGTCATATTATGTTATTTTCTTAAAAGATGCTTCCATGTTTCAGCAAAATCTCCATTTTCTTTCTCATCCTCTACTTCTCAGAGAATAATGCAAATGAAAACACACTTGATGACCTATTTGATCTTACCCACCCAGAGAAAAACCTTTTCCCTGTGAGCCTAGAGCTCATCTATTATGTTTAGGTCTAGCATTACTCCACTATTATAAGGGTTACCATAAGATTCTTAAATAAAACTTAGAGCACAAATACTTCCGAGTTTGCTGAGACAGGCCAGGACTGGCAGGACAGGCTTCAGGAACCTGACACAGGGCAGTACAGATTACACTTGCTGTAGTATCTCATTCTATTTCCTTATTAGAGCCATTTTCAAAGGTCTGAGGAAACAGACCAGTGGGAGATCACTTGACTAGCACATACATGACACTTGGCTCAATCCTTAGCACAGGCAAGAAAAAAATTCTTTTAATAAATTTTATTTCTGTATATGTATGGTGTGGGCAGGCACAAGGACACACATGCACATGAATGTGGAAACCAAAGGTGAATACCGGGTATCCCCCGCAGTCATCCTCCACGTCACTCTTTTAGAGAGTGTCACTAAACCTGGAGCCCACCAGATTCAACTAGACTGGCTTGTCAGTAAGGCCCAGAGATCCTCCTGCCTCTACCCAGCACTGAGTTACAAAAGCTCACTGAGACTGTCTTTTTGTTTTGTTATTTTTTTTTTTTTTTGCCACAGGGTCTCCCTTACTTTAGGCTGGCCTCCAACTAAGAGATCCACCTGCTGCCTCCAGAGTACCAGGATTAAAGGTGTGGATCAGGCTTTATTTACATAGGCACTGGAACCAAACTCAGGTCCTCATGCATGGCAAACACTTTACAAACCAAATCATACCCCCGCCCCAAAAAACAATTTTAAAGGACAAGCATTAGTTTGTAGTTTTACTTTCTTAAAACAACTTCCCTTTCCCCATTTTTTTCGGCAACTTCCTCTCTAGAGGAAATTACAGAGATGAAATTTAAAATCTGTACTTTTTTTAATCATAAGCATTTCATTTTTAGTGTTTATAACCTTCTTAAATTCAATGGTTCTTACTCATTTATTAAATCCACTGCTACTTAATCACTACTCACAGGTGGATGGATATACAAACAGTCCCAATTTTTAATGTAGTCAACACCATTACATATAGTTCATTCTTCACATCACCAATTGCAAAATAAATGAACGGGGGCCAACTGGTGCTGAATGGTGCAGACTATAAATTGCCCAACAACTTTCTAAGGAGTTATATAAGTAATACTTTTGAGCACTGTATGAAACCTTAAAGATAATTTAGCAGGTGTTAAATAAGAACCAATTATTTGTTCTTCTTTCCTTTAATGAAGTTCTCCAAACTGGTTTATAATATGCACTTAGGCACCTCTTTGTCCACCCAATGTTAGTCTTATAAATACTTGATCCAGTTATTACTCAAATCTGGTACAAATATCTAACCTTTTATTAAAATGATTCACTCATAAACCACACACAAATTATTCATATTAAATATAAAAGCCACTTATCTCTGAAAAGCATTTTACAATTTTAAATGGCTTTACCTACATTATGTGATTTTTGCAACCACCCAAGAGTAAAAAGAACATGGCTTTGTAGGTCTGGGGATATAGCTCAATGACAGCACATTCATAACGCCCTAGGCGCAGACCAGCAACTCAACCAAATGATTCTTCTGTAAGTCTAGGAAGTTTTAGAAAGTACTAAAATTGCCTAATACAGAGCATGGAGATGCACCCCAGCAAGGCCAGCCTTAGGGAGGCTGAAGTAGGAGGACTGCAAGTTCCAGACCACATACACAATGAGAATGTCTCACAAACTCAAGTTCCCCAGTGTTCCTCCAAGTGCAGCCTCTGTGACCAATACACAAACAACACCTCACAGCAGATGCTGAGCACAAACACATATGCTCCCTTTAGTTACTTCTGTCTCTTAGGACACGACTGTCAGACACTCACAGGCCTCCTCCTATCAATTTTCCATGTCAACTTCTGAGGTCCCCTAATCAGAAAAGGCCTGAAGTGCTTAGTCAGCCTCTGGAAGACATTGCCCACATCAAGGTCACCAATGCAATGAAGCACTACCTTATTCTGCCATCTTGCTTGGAACTCTGACTCCAGTAGAACAATTAATGACTCTAAAACACCATGGTTAAAAAATAATATTGTATGATAACATGTTGTAAAACCCTCTACAAACCCACAGTGCTGGCAACCAGCAGAACATCCACCAGAGACCCAAAACACTGTCCTGCTATGTTACAATATACTCTGCAAGACACAAGAAGACTGGAATCTAATGCCCTTAGCACTACTATGAGAAAACTCACTAAAGTCGAGTATCATTTAGAGTTCTCTTTGGCTGACTGTGTCACTCTCTGTTGCAGCCATCCTGTCTTTACACAAGCCCTCCTCACCCTTCAACCACATGTACTTGCTACCACTAAAGAGCCTGTGAATGGATTCTGCCCAAAGTGAATGCTTCTTCTCCCCTTCCCCCCAACCTTCACCAACTGTTTTCACATTAGTGTCTTGGTAGAAAGGCTGCTGCCTCAGAGAACTCTCTGGACATTTAACTAAAATATCACCCTGAATCACTCTTTACTACACATTCTTATGAGTACTTTAAAAATAAAAATTTGTTTGTTGTTGTTTTGTTTTTCGAGACAGGTTTTCTCTGTATAGCCCTAGCTGTCCTGGAACTCGCTCTGAAGACTAGACTGGCCTCAAACTCAGAGATCTGCCTGCCTCTGCTGGGATTAAAGGTGTGCATCACTATACTATCTCCTCTCACAAGTTAGACTCTAGGAGGCTGTTGACTCTGGCTCTCTGCTCTCCACTGGCCTGAACTGTATACAGACTGGCACTTTCTTCACTTAGGGTCCAGGCAGAAGGACAGAGGAAACAGCACTGATTCTTCTGCTGTCCAGGTGCATCATCTCCAATTGAAAATGTTGAAAGGGACACAGCAAACAGGAAGGAGAGCTCAGGCAAGGGTGATGACAGCAGCCAACAGAAGGCCTATACAAAACACAGACCAGATGTAGGAACACAGGAGACAAGCCTGACAAAGCAGGCAGGAGAACCTGGAACCTTCAGAGTTGCCTCTGCTTTTACCTAAATTAAAAATTAAACCTTTTCTCTTTTTGGGCATGGCAGTTTTCCTAGCTTTAACCCCTTCTAGATTTTGGCTTGCAATCCACTTCTTAGATTCTGAGCTACTTAAGATTTAAGGCTCATTAAAGTGACACTTGTGGTTTCAATGGTATTTATAACAACTGCATAAAGCATAACTCACACCTTACAATTCACCCATTTTAGTAGACAAGTCATTGGTTTATGTATATTTATTTATGTATATTTATAGTTACTTAGCCATTACAATTAATCTTTATCACCCATTCACTCCCATTTCCCCTCTGATTCACCTGTTTCTAGAACCCACTACTCTATTTTCTGTTTACAGATTTGCCACTTAAGATATTTCATGGAATATTAAGATATTAATGGAATCATATGCATGTATTTTATGGTTGATCTTTTATTTTTTATTATTATTACTATTGTGTATGTTGAGAGGGGTACCATGCATACATGTGGATATCAGAGGACAACTCTGTGGAGTTGGTATTCTTATCCCACCATGTGGGTTCTGGGACTCAAACTCTGGTCATCAGGTTTGCACAGCAAATGCATTACCCACTGAGTCAGCTCACCAGCCAATAACTGGTATTTTTTATCAGCATTATATGTTCAGTATTAATGCATGTTGTAGCATTTATCAGTATTTCATTTCTTCATCAAATTTACCACCTTAAAGGCAAGGACCAAAACTCAAAAGCTGCACACATATACACACACACAAAAACACACACACACACAAACACCCTTATATAAGCATGTACAGATAGTCATACAATCACATATCACTCACACATGCATGGAATAAATTTAACATATTAGGTTGACCTATCTATCAGTTGCTAGACATTTGATGGCTACTATATACTTATCCCTCTGTGTAAGTCAGAACCACAAATATTTTATAACTTTTGATATCAATGTCCTCAACTGCCTTCACTTTTCACTTTTAAGTCTTGAACAAGAAGTTACAATAGCTATTTTTCTATAAGTAGTCTGAAAATTATTTAATCTAAGATGTATTATTTACCCCAAATTCCCTTTATCTTCTCACCTAAAAGGCAAGAATGTCAGAATAAAAACTCCCAAACATATAAATCAGAACAAAATGCTATATTTTTAGGAAAATAACACATTCATAGAAAGCTGCAAGCTCTTTCAAGGAGCTCTTTTGCTGGGCCATCATTTTTTTTCCAATACTATTATGTGCCAACTGATCATACTGTCTTGAAAAGACATAATAGAACCAACTGACAAACTCTCAGCTTTTAATGATTCCATCTTTGGTTTGCAGATAGAAATGAATGTATATAGAGCATATTTTTCATAATTATAATGTACTGTTTTGAATTTTATTATTCTTTTAAGACTTACTTTTATTTTATGAGCATGAGTGTTTGCCTACATGTATGTATGTGCACCAAGTACATGCCTGCTGCTTGCAGGGGCAGAAGAGGGTGCCAAATCTTTCAGAACTGGAGTTATAAAAGGTTGTAAGCCTGCAAATATGTGCTGGAAACCCAACCCAGGTCCTCTGTATGAGAAGTAAGTGCTCAAGACATCACTCCAACACTCTGTTTTTGAGTGTTAAACAACAAATGAATTGCTCATGCAATTTGGGGGATACAAATTTCAGTGCCCTCAATCTTGTCAATCCTTTATGTTCCTTACTACTTTGTTATATTAAGGCTGAAAACTAATTTTATTTTCTGGGCAATACTAAGAGAGGGGTACACTGCAAATCCATACTGGGAAAGCTATTCCTGAAGTCCAACAACTGTGTCTTTTACTCTACCACTCTTTCTCCTTCACTAGACTGTCCCCTTTAGTCAAGTTCACCTCAAGTACAAGCACACTTGTGCCTCTGTATCTTCACTCCACAAATAACTTTCTTAAATACACTCTTCCTTGACCTGCCATTCCTCTGGGTTTATCTCAAGTACCACCTGAAAACACTTACTCTAGTTCCAGCCAGATACACACTGACAGAAAGCTACAGCAGAAAGAAACAGGGATTTAGAGACAGTCACCAGTGAGGAGCAACACACCACATGGCCATCTGCTGAGCCTGCCCAGCCTGTTTTCTCCTCTGGAAGGCAGGTAAACTAGTTCAAAGTACTACAGGAAGCTTAGAATGTTAAATGAAACTAGAAACTGCCCAACACAGTGAGCAACAGATACAGGATTCAACATGTATGCATTCTTTTTCCTCCACAAAGTCTTATTTGACCACTCAAGTTCTGTGATCATCCTATCCTAAAGCACAAATATATCAGATCTATCTTGAAAGAAAGTAAACAGTCAACTTCTCAAGACTGCTCAAGCCACGAGCACTGTTCAGAGTAATATCCTGAGAGTTTGATTTCACTTTAAGGTATTTGTCTACCTGTAAATATAAATGTATTTCAAAAATGGTAACTGCTCCAAACAGATTCTTTGCACATCCTCTTTCAAAGGAAGAAGTTGATCCTGTAAAAATACTACAGCTGGTAGAAGTAGAAGCAGACACCCACAACTAATCACTGAACTGAACTGGAATCCACTTGCAGAGAAGTATGAGTGAAGAGCAAAGGGGTCCAGACTAGGCTGGTAAAACCCAAGAAACAGCTGACCTGAACTTCGAGGAGTCCTTGGTCCTCACACTCCATGGGATACCAGCATGGGACTGATCCAAACCCCAGGAACATGGGTTTCAGTGAGGAAACCTTGGAAATCTACGGGACCTCCTGTAGTAGTTCAGTACTTATCCCTAGCATAGGTGTGGACTTTGGGAGCCCGACCCAGATAGAGGAACACTCCCTGAGCCAAGACACACGGTGGGGGGGGGGGGGTGTTAGGCCCTATCCCACAGGAGATGATAGACTCTGATGATACCCTATGGAAGGCCTCACCATCAAGGGGGAGCAGAAAGGATATGTGATAGGTAGGGTTTTAGTTGGGGTGGGGTTGGTAGGGGAGGACGGGAGGAAGAGGGAACTGGGATTGTCATGTAAAACAACCTTGTCTCTAATTCAAATACAAAAACAAAAACAAAAAAAACCTGCACAGAGAAAGGCATGGGAATGGTTCACTCCTTACCTTGTGGGTTATCCATTCTCGTCCATACTGATAGACATTGTTGGCTGCAGAATTAAGGGCTCTTTGGACCACCTGAGCCTCAGGAAGCCAACTGATAGAAAAGACAGAAGAAAATGGAAAAAGCCCATTTTCAGTATATTCTTCTAATAATGCTCTGAACTAAAGCTACCAATAACAAATTATTGAACAATCATCAACACAGAGAACATCTAATGCTCAGGCCTGGTGACCCTGATCCTAACTTGCAGGATTTAACTTCCATCTCTCCATAGGATCGAGACCTATTTTCCCACCCCTCCCACCCCCCAGCCTCCTTTTCATTCTGTTCTGCCTGGTTTCTCCGCCTCCACATGTGGTGGTCACCTGCTGTGATGGCTTGAAAGAAAATGCCAACAAAGAGAGTGGTACTATTAGGAGGAATGGCCTTGTTGGAGGAAGAATGTCACTGTGCGGGTGGGCTTTGAGGTCTCTTTTGCTCAAGCTTCCCTCAGTGTCACAATCAATTGACTTCCTGTTGCCTAAAAAAAAATGATATAGACTCTCAGCTCAAGCACCATGTCTGCCTGCATGGTGCCATGCTCCCTGTCATGATGATAATGTACTAAACCTCTGAAACTTATAAGCAAGGTACCCCAACTAAATGTTTTCTTTATAAGGCTACTGTGGTCATAGTGTCTCTTCACAGTAATAAAAAAACCCTAAGTAAGACAGAGTTGGTACTATGAACTAGAGTATTGCTGTGATAGGCCTGACCATGTGTTTGTTTGGAGGAATTTGGACTTTGGTACTTAGGGTTATGAAAGCAGTGGAATGCTTTAAGCACTGCTTAATGGGTCACAATAGTAGGAGCATGGAAGACAGAGGTGCTAAGAGTTATTTGAACTGTCAGGGGATCACTCAGGATGTTTCAGAGGAAAAGAATTTTAAGTATGTTACCTAGAGATCATTCTTATGACATTTTGGTGAAGAAAATGGCTGCCTTGTGCCCTTGTCCAAAGAGTCTGCCTGAGGCTAAAGTGAATTTTAGATTAATTTCCTTGGCAGAAGAAATCTCAAACAGCTTAGTATAGATTCTGTCCTGTGGATATTAGTGGCAACTCTAATGAAGATTTATAATGAAAAGGGGTAAGTCAAGCAGGGTAAATTACAAAATGAAAGTTTTAAGAAAAAACAAAACAAAACAGAATACCAGGAAGTTGACTATGACTAAATTCTATGTTCAAAGAGATAAACGGATTAAGAAATGGAATAAACAGAGTGGTAACCTCACGGCAAGATCCCACCCATAATTTCCAACTTGTGAAAAGGAAATAAAGGAACGTTTAGAGCCAGATGTGGTGGTGCATGCCTTTAATCCCAGCACTGGGAAGGCAGAGGCTGATGGGTCTTTCTCTGAGTTTGAGGTCAGCCTGGTCTACAGAGCAAATTCAAGGACAGCAAAGGTTAGACAATGAAGGAAAACAGAAAGCTGGTAAAGATGTAATTAAACAAGGGGCCATGTTTCAGCCCTAGTAAGCAGCAGAACTTGGCAGCTTCAGCAACATGGTTCTGGATTTACAGTTAAGGATAGAAGAAAGCAGAAATGGAAATAAAGCCGCTAAGGCCAGGCATGTGTCTGAAGGGACCAGCCCCCCATTTCGGCAGCCATGACAGTAACACGTGCTTGCTATGACCTTGCCTTGGTCACTAAGAGGTTAGGTGCCTGCCTCGTGGCAAGGAAGCAATCAGAAGTTAGCTGGTGGCACCATGCTTTATGGTTCTGGGTGTGCTTTACAGACAAGTGCACAGCAATGACTCGCAGAGCATAGCAACCACCCTGGGAGGGCCTATGGGCCATAAAAACCAATTGGCCAATCAACACAGGGCAAGCCCTCCAAACCTGGAGGCACACCAATCCTGAGCCTGTCAGTACCCCTAGACACTCCCCTTACGCTGTCCTACAAGATCACTAGGCAGCCGGTTTGAGGTGTCTTTTCTAGCCATCCGCCATGGCGGGTAGGTGAAAGACCCGAGCTAACATGGGGTTAGCTCGTTAAAAAAACAATAAAGCCTCATACAGTTTGCATCAAGCTCTCGAATTTGCCTGGTGATTGGGGTGACCGCGGTCGTGGCCTGGGACCCCCAGATACCTGAGTTTTCAGGGGGTCTAACATGTCAAGACTGTCCCTGAAATGGAAGCCTAGTAGAGAAGCCATTAAGAGAAGATGTGAAATTGAAGTCTGGACTGTCTTAGAGAACCCAAGATGATGCAAGAGCCATGGGATACATGCCAAGGAAAGCTGCTAACAGTGAGTGGAACCTGCCCAAAAGACAAAAGTATGTTGTAGTCAACAGAGCTGAACAGTTAGAAATCTGAAGAGCATTTTGACATCAAACATGGAGTTGCAGAGTTTGGAGTTGGCCCACTTGGTTTTCGAGCTTGCTGTCAGCCAATATTTCCTTGCTGTGCTCCCTTTCCTGTGTTTTGGAATTGTAATGTATATCATGTGTCAATATATGTTGGAAATATGTAATCTGCTTTTTTATTTTGATTTTTAGAAAGGATTAAGAGATTATCACGTGTTCTCAGAAGAGACTTCGGACTTTGAAACAAGTTTGAGACTGTTACAAACTATGGGGACTTTTGAAGTTGGACTGAATGCATTTTTTTGCATTATGATATGGCTATAAGACTTTAGGGGCCAGGGAGTGGAATGTGGTAGTTTGGAAAAAATGGCTCCCAAAGGGAATGGCACTATTAGGAGGCTTGGCCTTGTTGGTGGAAGTGTGTCACTATGGGAGAGGGCTTTAGAGTCTCTTTTGTTCAAGTTTCCCTTAGTGTGACAATCAGCTGACTTCCTCCTGCCCGTAAGATGGAGCATTCTCAGTGCCAGCACTATGCCACCATGTTCCCTGTCATGATGATAATGGACTGAACCTCTGAAGCTGTAAAAAGGTACCCCAATGAAATGTTTTCTTTATAAGAGTTGCCGTGGTTATGGTGTCTCCTTACAGCAAAAGAAACCCTAACTAAGACACCTGCCTAGTCAGCATAAAGGACATTGTTCTGAAACACAGAGATATTCAACATCTGACGAGACTCTGAAAGTGTTAAGTCATGGACAACCAGCACCCAACCTGCTTGGGAACTTGTTAGAGATAAAATGCTGGAGCCCAATCCCAGACCTACTTAAAGAGAAATGTGCACCCTAAGAAACCCTGCAGGTGTCTATCTGGGACCCACAGGTCTAAGGAAGTGCAGAACTGAGGAAGAATCCAGAAATTAAGAGGGTACAGTAGTTATTTTCAGTCTTAAACCCACTAATCTTTTGATATAGAGTCTCTTCAAAAAGCTTCAGCCATGCTAAGAACTGCCGTCTTCAGTTTCACTTGTTTTGCAGTAAAAGACCTCTCCAGGACCTCACAGCTAAGTAGGCTGCACAATACACAGTAATCAAGAAGCCTTTTCATATACCCAATTCCTTCCAAAAGTATTCCCATATAATATATAAAGGTAGAGTCAGGTATGGGGATATGTACCTGCAATCTCATTATTTAGTAGTCTGAGGCAAGAATGTCTTAAGTGTTAGATCAGTCTGACCCTCAGAGTAATATCAGAAGCTGTCCCTACTCTTAAGCTCCTACTCTCTACATTTTCTACTTTATCAAAGCTTTGGCAAACCGTATCTTTTCTCTTCCAATGTAGCTACAGCAATGAACACTGTTCCATGCACACAGACGCTGAAACTTGGTCACCCAAGTGGATCTTTTTTCCAAACAGTACTCTTACTTTGCCCACTCTGGGTGATTTGCTAGGGTCTCATTAATCAAATTACTTGTGACTTCAATCATGTGTACACTTTCTTGATGTACCTGTAATATGGGTAAAAAAAAAAGAAAAAAAATCAGTAAGTAATAAACCTAATTAAAAATGTCTTTTTCTACTCTTCTAAGATCAAATAGTTATATATTGTGGTTTTTATTAACTTAGAAGTGGGCACTTTACAAGTTGTTATACATAATGTCCTATGATAGATACTGAAAGAAATACATATATACTTTCTGTGCCTTCAAGAAGCTCAACAATCCGCCTTAAAAAAAAATCCAAATACTTAACTCATAGACATAAACATCTAGTTCACAGATATATGCATATGGACAGATTATGCCCACGCTTATGCATCTTCATATGCAATACCAAAACTGTAAGCTAATACAGTAACTGTGCAGGGTGAGACACACAGACAAATAAGCCACCAGCATGGTTCTGCGTAGTTCTACATATAGAAAAGCCGTCAGGAACTGAAACTGAATTTGCCTTGCTGTGGTGATTTGAGTAAAAATGGCCCCGTAGGCTCGTATGTTTGAATGCTCAGTCATTAGAGAATGGCACTACTTGGAAAGGATTAAAAGGATTAAGAGGTGTGGCCTTGTTAAAGGAAGTGTGTCACTGGGGGTGGGCTTTAGGGTTTTAAAAACCCACAGCAGAGTTAGGCTTTCTTCCTGCTATCTGTGGATCAGGATATAGCTCTCAGCTACTGCTCCAGCACCATGTCTGCCTGCATGCTGCCATGCTCCCTACCGTAATGATAATGGACTAGGCCTCTGAAACTGTAATCAAGCCCCCAATTAAATGCTTTCCTTTATAAAAGTTGCCTTGGTTATGCTCTATCTTCACAACATTAGAACAACTCCTTCAGAAAAAGCTGCAGTTTCGCTGCAGAATAATTCAAAGTCAACATGACTCTGGGAATTACCTAGCTGCTCATTTTCTAAAGGCTTTAAGTGGCATTGATAAGAACTTGATACTGTTCTCTGTGGAGATGGAAATAGGAAACAAAACTTACGCTGAAGGAATCTGAAAAGTAAAAAAATAAAGCCCCTCTGTGAGTAGCCATGTGTGGCTAGTAAGACCTCTCTCCCCTTCATGAAGGAAGTTTAGTGGTCACAGAATTCTGAGGGTCTCCTATGGGTCTGACTTAAGGACAACAATGGCCATGCCATGGCCAGAGGATAGCATTTCAAAACAGACACCAAAAGGACAGGCAACAAGGGCAAAAACAGGCACGTGGAACTGCACCAGACATAAGTACCCCACAGGAAGGAAGAGCAGGGACAGGAGGAAAGTAGTTAATGCAGAGATTCTGGAGGCAGGCACACCACTGGCAAGCATTTTCATGGAGACTCAGAAGACGGAGGCAGGAGTTGGGGACACTGAGCTAATTAACTTAGGAGTCATGAGACTAGTTCAGAAACCTCTTAAGTTTAAGGCAGCCAGCTTAGGAGGTGAGAGGATTATTTAAGATTCTTTTTTTTTTTTTAACTGCAATTTTTTTCCTGAAGACTTGATGACAAAATAAAATGTGTGCAAAAGAGATTTAAAAAGAAAACATACTAAGCAGACTCATAGCAAAATTATTAATGCACAAAACGGAAATACTTTAGTAGGTAGAGGTACTTGTGATAAGCCAAATTAACATTTTCCATTTGCTTCTACTATATGCAATTCTAACAATAAGGCCTTTGTTATAACAAGATAACCAGTTGCTGTACTTTATTTATTTACCTTTGCAGTCAGGAGAAGAGCTAAAAGAAGGGTTCCTATTACTAGCAAAAATATGATGAAAATGCTAATAATTTTATCTAACATCTTCTCCAACCAGATGATCATCTGCATGGAAATGAAAAAATAGGATTACTTATCTTCAAAGTATTACTTAATAAACACTTTTATGTACTCAAATATCACAAATACAGGATATTCAGCATTGCAAAGCAAATTACAGCATACTGATTAAAGCAGTAAAAGCTATAAGCAAATTAATTTTAGAAAATTAACTAACAGTATTAATTGCTGCTGTGAGAGTTCATTATTGTCATAGCTATGAGAAGGCAGTCAACCAGAACATTATCCACATGTACCCCTCAATTCTTATTGTGCTACATCCACATTTCAATCTCTAATTCCAAGACCTGGTAAATACATTCTACACTAAATGATGACAATCCATCAGTTGAACTTAAGTCTCATGAAGCTCTATTATCACTTAGCCAACACAGATGGCTTTAGAGATTGTGTGTGCTCCTTGTAATGTTCATCTCCTAAGTTATACAAAAAATAGGAGCAAAGACAGACAGCAATAAATTTCAAATACATTTTACTTTCATCACAATAGAGTGATAAAGACAGTAATTGTTCATGCATGTAATGTTAAGGCAATAAGGAATTCAGAGTAACAGGTATCAAGTTTTGGGTGGTGGATGCAGTTCTAATGAGGTGGACAGTAGATGAATAGTATTTTGTTTTGTTTTTTAAATGAATGTTTTATGAAGGATTTTAAATTTTAGAAAAAAGTTAAGTATACGTGTTTATTTAGTTGGGAGGTGCACACAGGTGTCGGGGCATGAGTTTGGAGATCAGCGGAAATCTGCATGAGTAGGTTCTTTCCTTCCATCATGTGGCTTTCACAGACTGAACTCAGGTCACTACACTTGGTAAAAGATGTCTTTACCCACTGGGCCATATTGACAGGCCCAAAACTTTTAGATTTTAGGTATTTTACAATAAAATGCTTTATAAAGTCCTGCTATTCCACCAGAGGTTTCTATTCTATTGAAAACATAAGCTTTATGGCATGATTCTAACTCAATGAAGTACATTAATCCTCAATGTAGTAGCTGTTCTTTAATCAATAACTAAAATTATGCTCTCCTTAAAATGGTATTTGATATTCTACCTTTGCTAGAACTCCTCTCACCTTTTACAACCCCAATAATCCTACATCTTAAACACTTTTTGTTTTCAGGATATGCAACAATGATAGACTTCTACACTTCCTGCCATGCAAAGCTACCATTTAAAATTCAAAATTAGACTTAATTAGATCAATATTGCTAATGTGCCATACTGCACCCTTTCGACCCCAGCATGAGCTGTAATACTGCTAAGTTATCCTAATTTAAATTGAGTTAAATACCTAAAAGCAACATTTTCTTTTTAAAAAACACCTCAAATTTAACAAGTTTATTTCTACAAAAGTTGAATTCTTCTATGTCTTCCACGAAGGACACTGCCCTTCATTTAGTGCCATAGTGAACTCAGACACAAAACGTTAATCTATAATGTTGACACTCAGAGCTTCAAACAGAAGAGTTAAGCTTCAATGCATGCTACCAAAGCATCAGAGACAATGCAGAAATTAAAAAATAAAAAAAGGAAGGACAGGTTTCTAAGGTATGGAAGGTCAGGTGTCTTACTCTGAAGTTAAGTTCTAAATCAGGAAGCAGCTGGACTCTAGACCCCCTAAGGCAGCTCCCCAAGGAAAGGGCTGCCTCATTCATTTCTACAGCTCCAAAACCCAGGTAACCAGAAGTACAGCTTGTATAACAAACACAAAGTAATTCAGATTTGTTACTGGCAGATTTGTTTCCAAGAATAACAGTTTCTGAAGGTAGTGTAGGAAGTGTCCTTAAAAGCCTATTTTTAAATGAAAATAGTCTACTAGGAAAGCATGGAACCCTTACTTTCTATCAGGTATCATTAACATACAAACCACGGGATTCCAGAAATATGCCCACCAGAATTATAAAATCAGACTTCATAGTTTTAAGCTAGAGTAGAATCTTCCCAACTCCAATTCTGTCAGAAATTAAGTACAAAGTACTTGCTTAAGGCTTCAGAGACTCTTGTTCTTTCCAGCCTGCCCCATATTAAAGGCTGCTCTGAAGAGGACACTGTTCAGTTCCCAGCACTCACATGGCAGCTCAACTGTCTTAAACTCTAGTTCCAGTGGATCTGATGCTCTCTTCTGGCTTCTGGGGGCACCAGGCAGACATGTACACAGTGCACATAGAGACATACATGCATGCATGCTTGCTTGCTTGCATGCATACATACATACATACATACATACATACATACATACATACATATGCACGTACATATGTACGTAAAGCAGACAAAACACTCATACACATTTCACACAAAAATTCAGGACAGTAAACGTGGACAGAGGAAAAGAAGGAACTGCTGAGTGCCTGAGTAAACAAAAGCAGGGATAAACTCGGACAGAGGAAGTTGGGGTCTCTAAAGGAAGGCCAGGCACCTTCTTCCCAAAGAGGCTGGTCTTCCCCATGCTCATAATGAGCAAAGCCAACCAAACTGTCACCATCACTGCTGGGCTGTGGAACACACATGGTCTCTATGAATTGCTCCAGTCTTTCTAGGTGATGACCAATAATAATCTTTAAGGTTTTGTTTTTAAAAGAGTGTAGGGGACAGTAAGCCACGCCTGTTAGAGGCTGGCTACAGGTGTGCCTAACCACGCCTGTAAGGATGTGGTCAAGGTGAGGTCAGGATGACACGATAGGTTTTTAAGGGGCTGCAAAGCACATGGGCGCACCTTCCCTTCTCTCTGGCCTCCCTGCCTCGCTGTCCCTGGCACACTCTGGCTTGTGTTTGGCTGGTGTTTATCTGAATAAAGATATCTTAACCTTAAAAAGAGGAACCGTTTTAAAATGGGATGCTAAATATTTCAAATATGAGCAGGGAATGCATTTTTAAAACTTAATTACACTAAGCCCTACTCTAAAACTTCTAAGACAACTAGCTTTGTTTATCAAGCTATTAAGAAAGTATCACAGCCAGGTGATAGTAGCTCACACTTTTAATCCCAGCACTCAGGAGGCAGAGGCAGGTGGATCTCTGTGAGTTAGAGCAAATTTTAGTTCCCATATTTAAAAGTACAGAAATCTAGGCCTAGCAGGGTATGACAGCTTGCCATGCTCAAGGCCTGAATTTGACCCTCAGCACCACAAAAACAAATGCTGAATAAATTAACAAATATGAATAAATAAATACACATTGAAAATCAAAATGTGACTTTGATCTACTTCCACATCTTTAAAGTTTATTACATTATTTTTACTGAACCTAAGTCTCGCTTGTGTTTAAACAGGACACACATACATGATACCATCTCTTACAAACCTGTCCTAAGGATTCGAAAGTCAGTCAAACACTGCTCTATCTTGAGTAAATGTCAGAGGCACAGTATTCCTCATACATGTAGCTCGGCCTTAGAAATTTATATGAAATATGCCTATCACAATGTCATACCAATCATGGAAAGCAGTTCCTACAGACAAACATCATAACTCATAAAACATAAAATTAGATGTTATAGGCCATGGCTACAGGTTGCTTAAATAAAAATAAAAACTTAAAAAAAGATAACCTGTCTCTGGGATACTGGAGTCGTAGTTAATTTTTGTCACCTCAACACAGCTAGAGTCATTTGAAAAGAAGGAACCCCAACTGAGAAAATGTCTCCACCAGACTGACTTGTAGGCAAGCCTATGGAGCATTTTCTTGATTAATGATTGATGTAGGAGGGCCCAGCCCACTGTGGGTGATGCTACTCCTGGGCAGGTGGTCTTAGACTATATAAAAAAAGCAGGTTGAGCAAACCAGGAGGAGCAAGTCAGTAAGCAGTATTTATCCATGATGGACTGTAACTGAGACATGTAGGCTGAAATAGATTCTTTCCTCTCCAAGTTCTGTTTTATCACAAGAGAAGCCCAAGCTAAGACAATTAATTTTTGTAAAAAAAAAAAAAATTCACAGATTTGTCCATTTTAAAAATTCTGTGTCATTTATAGAAAAAGTAGAAATAAAGACTTTCTTTCCTCTACCTTACAGTGTTTCACAAACCAAAGGAACCCACAAGCTGGGCTTGGTGGTAGATGCCCACAATACTAGCACTTAGGAGACTGAGGCAGGAGGATAGAAGCCAACCTGGACTTGACTTTTGTTTGACCTTGACTCAAACAAAAAAGAAAAAGAAAGAAACCAAAGTAGCCACATAAAGAGAAAAAGCAAGGAAATCAATTCTATGGACAGAAGGGCTATGAGACATAACCTCTTAAATACTTGGGGCCCATTCACATCCTAAGAGCTTTGTGGAGAATTTAGTAAATGACTCTACGGCAGAATTCACATTTCATGACCTTCCATAGCTTATAGTTAGAATTTTAAAATAAATCTTAGTTTGACATATGGATAGAAACACAGAATGAGAAAGGAGATGGTGAGGGGTTGAGGCAGGGTATAAAATTCAGTAGTGAAAACCACACCCACATGTTTATTACCTTCTTATTTAGCCAGTGCCAGAGCTGGAGGACAGGGGAAGGTGAGAGAGAAGATAAGAACAGTGGGATATTATTAGAGAATGCAACAACAGTATGGAGAGAAAGTCTCTAAGAACAAGAGGAAGCTGTCGGGAAAGGAGAGGAAGAAAGTGCATTACAGAGCTTAACACAATGCTACCTTACAGTTAGGATGGCTGAAATGACAACCACAGGCGTTGCTGTAACACCTAAACAGCCTTGTCCTCTCCCCTGCAGAGCCTCTGCACAGCCAGCCCCTCTACCTAATAAACGCCTGCCTGTGCTCAGCTTGATCTGCTGGTTTCCCCAAAGCTTCCCTTTCCTACCACTGTGTCACACAGATACTTCTCTATACAAACTGTAGTCACAGCTAACACTGAATACACCAGACACATAAGATCTTGCCTATATGAACTCAGCACACACAACCATATTATGAGGTAAGTACTATTATACCCATTTCATTGATAACGAAACCAAGGCACAGAGAAGTTAAGCAAGCCATCTGTCCAAGGTCACAGAGCTACTAAATAACCAAAGTGGGAGCCAAAGGTGGAGTGTGAATTTAGATTCCATGTCCTATAATCAGTTTAACCACTAAGTTCTCAGAAACTACCATCTCTTGGCAGTGAGTCGAACTTCTGTCTCTGGGGGGGTCCAAGACTGGTTAAGTTTTCCTGTAACTCAGCACAGTATCTGACAAACAAGAATCACTCCAAAAAAGTCCCCACCCTGAGCCACCATCTCATTGCCTAATCTTAACCAAGTCACTTCAGCTCTCTGGATGTCATTCTGCTCTTTATCAAGAGAAGTCAATCTAGGTGCTCTCTCCTTTATAAGAAAAATAAGCACAATTGTATTTCATTTAAGTCTACTCTATCTTCATGTGAACAATAATTCTAAGCCTTAAATTTTCATGGAGAACTAGATATGAAGTACATTATCAACAAGTTATGAAATGGATCATTTCAGGCATGGAACACAGAAAATCCACTGAAGCAGCCAATCATACAATACCTTGCTATCAACTTTTAGTAAGAACTTCCCAAGCCCGATAATTGGCCATGGTGCTAAAGCCTCCTGCCGCTCCTTCAGGAAGCACTCGATAACCTGCCACCACACATGGCAGCGTTTCTCCAGGAAGCCCACCACTCCAAAGTGAATCACGAGCTTTTTGATTATCCAGACTATAGAGAAGATACAATCACATGTCAAGGAAGAACATGAAAAAGTTCCTTAGTTTTCATTCTAAACAGTAAAGCCAATACTAAAACAACATCATGTAAGAAAGGAATGGGGAGGATCACAGGTATTTTAAACAGAAGGAACCGGGACAAGTGTCTTAGTTAGGGTTTCTCTCACTGTGAAGAAACACCATGACCACAGCAACTCTTATAATGGAAAACATTTAATTGGGGCTGGCTTACAGGTTCAGAGGTTTACTGCATTACTGTCATGGTGGGAAGCATGCTGGCACGCAGGCAGGCATGGTGCTGGAGAAGGAGCTGAATGCTCTACATCTGAAGCCACAGGAAGAAGCTGAGACTCACTAGATGAGGCATGAGCTTCTGAGACCTCAAAGCCCGCACCCAGTGACACACTTTCTCCAATAATGCCACACCCACTCCAACAAGGCCACACCTAATAGTGTCACTCCCTATGGGCCATGCATTCAAACACACGAATCTACAGATGGCATTCCTATTCAAACTACCACACCAGGCAGACTTTCAAGTAAGCCTCACTAGCTAAACATCATCCTGGTCTTGGAGCTGAATCGCAGGGTGAGTTAGGGCTCACTGTCCAGCCTACAAACATCATGTACTACAAGGGCCTTCATAGCTTCCCTCTGCCTGACTAAGGAAAACTGAGACCCAGCATTTACTAATTCCCTGTCTATTACAGCGGGTCTTCCCCAGGGACTTTGTACCACTCCAGGGAGTATTTTCAACTGTGCTCCTGTTTCCTCACGTGATGCTGCTCTGTGCATCTGAACAGAGAGGGCTCTCTGTTCAACAGAGAAACCAACTATCAAAGCCAACTAGGAAGAGGCCAGAAGAAGGGTTACTCATTAGTGAGGGAGGACTTAGGTAACTGTTTCTTTCCACTAAAATGTCTCTAACTCATGGGACCAATATTATTAACCCCAACCTTGTAATTTGCAGGATCATCGTGGTGGTTTGAATGAGAATGAATCCCACAGGCTCATAGATTTGAATACTTGGCCCCAAGTTAGTGGAACTGTTTGGGAAGGATTAAGAGGTGTGGCCTTGTTGGAGGAAGTAGACACTAGCTGTAGGCTTTAAGGTTTCAAAAGTCCATGCTAGTCCCAGAGTGCATACTGTGTGTTCATGTGTGCACGCCTGGCTGGCTGGCTGGCTGGCTGGCTGGCTGGCTGGCTGCCGCCTGTCTCTGTCTGTCTCTAAAGAGAGCTCTGCCTCATGGCTGTTGTCTCAACATATAAGCTCTCAGCTACTACTCTAGCTCCATGCCTGCCTGCCTGCTGTCATGCTGGACTCTAGTCCTCTGAAAAGATGATGAGCCTCCAATTAATGCTCTCTTTTATGAGTTGCCTTAGTCATGGTGTTTTGTCACAGCAACAGAAAAGTAAACCAGTAGGACCTAACAGTTCAAAAATTCCTTCATTAGCTGTTTCTCTCTTTAAATTGGTTTTGAAACAGGGTCTCTCTGTGTATTCCTGGATGTCCTGCAATTCTTTATGGCTCTTGCAGAGGACATGGGTACATGTGGCTCACAACTGTCTGAACTCAAGTTCCAGAGGATCCAATACCCTTTTTAGACCTCTACAGGCAGACATATTCAGCCAAACACTCAAAACATAAAATAAAAATAAATATTTTTCTCATGATCTAAGTACAAACATTCAACTATTTTAAGTAAGATGGCAATAAAATTCTATCAAATCTTAAAACCCCACTGTAAGAAAAGAAGAAAAAAGTCTGTGGCAATGGGATAAAACCATACTTAACCAAATAACAACCTGCAACAGGCACCGGCAGTAGCTGTACAATCCACAGATTCAGCCAGAGCTGTACAGCAATGATGGCCCACACGAGAGACACGAAGTAAACGTCACTCGTTTTCTTCTTTCTGAGAAATGTCCCCATCTCAGGCCTCTGTCTACCCAAAGTAGGTGAAGGAGAAGAAGGTGAGGAACGTGAAGAAGATGAAGAAGAAGCAGACAATGCTGGCGGGGGCTCTCCCCTGTCCGTGGGCTCTAAAAAACGCAAAGACATAAAATCACACACTGTCTTAGTCCACATGAGAAAAACAACAATATAAAATATACTTCACTGGAATGTATAGCAGGACCCATCAAGTTCAAGAAATACAAGATTTGCACTGAAACAAACCTGTGCAAACTACTGTCAGCAGGGTTTTAATCTAGGCAAGTCAGATTTTTCTGGGAGACAGCAAATGTTCTTCTTTTATTCTACATGAGTTAAGTATTTTTTTGAGATTCATTTTTATTGTATTTGTATGGATGCTTTGCCTGTGTGTGTCTGTGCTCATGAGTCAAGGCTAACAGTGAAGCTGATGGTAACATGCTTTCGTTTGACTTTGCTCTGCCTGTTTGATCTGGAAACTCCAGGTCAGTGCTAATGATAAATGCCAGCAGAACAGTAACTCTATAACCTAAGTATCCAACGTCTCTGCTTTGGAAACGTGGTTTCATGTACAAGAATAGTAGTGTGTGTTTCTATTACTGAATGGCCTTCTCCTAAATTATGCCTTCCTTAACACATGTACCAAGTGTTATTTCTTCAATAAGAGCTTGCTATATAGGGGGATAGAAGGATGGTTCAACTAGTAAAGGGCTTGGCACATAAGCACAAGTACCTGGATTCAGATCCCATCACCCACCAAAAGAGGCTACAGCATGTGTCTGCATTTCCCAGTGCTAGGAAAGTAGGGACAGGGAGATCTCTGGAGCTTGCTGAAAAGCAAACCAAGTCTAATGGTAAGCTCCAGATGCTATGAAAGACTTCACTTCAAAAATTAAACAGTGACTAAGGAAAATACTGACATGGAACTCTGGCTTCTACACACACATGCATACACTGTGAACACATACACAAAACACACACACATTTACTGACCATACACACTACTAAAAAGGGGGTTGCTGTAATATTCTCCACCTCTAATTATCCCTGGCACTAATAAGCATTGTAGCACAAACTGTAACATACTTATACTCTTCTGAACTCTGTGAAAGTATGGTATGGTATGGTATGGTATGGTATGGTATGGTATGGTATGGTATGGTTCCAAACATGGTATGAATCTACCAGATGGATCTCACAGAAGCCAGGCCCTACAGAGCAACCAGAGGACCTGTTTTGGGAAGCCAGTAAATATACACAATATAAAGCATTCAAATTGTACTTTGAAACAAAAAATGAATAAAATGTAGAAAAGAAAAACACTCCACTGTAGAGGGGAGTTGGGAAGGGAAGGAAACGCATAAAAAGAATAGTACAAAATAAAACAACGTAAAACTGGCTGCTAGAAAAGGAACACAAAATAAAAAATAAAAAAAAAAAAAAAACAAGATAAGGCGAGCACAGAGTTGGGGTAGAACTATGGATGGTATATGGGACACTAAGGGGAGAAAAATAGTATAAGTGTGAGACATAACAAAAGTGTTTTAAAGAGGCAAGGGAAAGAACCAGAATAGGAAACCCAAAAAAGGTAAACAATCAGAAGCATGAGAAACACACACACACACACACACACACACACACACACACACGAAGATGACTAGTGGAGAACCAGCAAGCCTGAGGTCCATTCTGTGCTGCCAGCCTCCTTCTTCACTCTATTTCCTACTTCTATCTCATTTTCTAGAATGATTCTGACCAGCTTCATGATGTTAGTCACCTGCAGGCTGAGTGGAGGGCTGGTCTTCACCGCTTGATTCATACCCTGTGATGGAGATGGCCAAGTTTGCAAGAGTAGAAGCTGCCATGGAGATCACTTGTCCTGGTAATTCTGCCCCTGTAAGGGGTGGGGATGGGGAGAAGAAATACATAATTTTTTAATCCTTTACAGAAATAAAAACAAAAGCCAATTTAAACCAAAACTATTTTCAATAGCAACAACCAAAATGGTGATTTCTCAGAAAGAATACTTCAAAATTGTTAGCTGCAAGTCCCTGAATATTGTGTCTTCTTCATTTGAAAACCCAATGATGGTAAGTATGCCAGATACTTTGCCTAAACAAATTCAAACTACTGGGTTTTCTTTTTTTTTTTTTTAACTTTACCAGATGATTTTAATGCACACTTCCAATGGAAAACATTGCACACCTGGTTAAATTGTCTTATACTATTTTGTATTGTTATTTTCTAATACAGTATGGGACAGCCCACATTTACTGTTTACAGTAATGACACAACATAAATGAGTATGTAAATACATGGATGGATATTGTGCAAAAACACAGATCTACAGAGAACAAAATTCAACAAAGGCAAATCGACCACTGGGAAATCTAAAAGAACATCTTTGGTGCCTGGAAAACTCCTGTTGGATGATACCAAAGTGTATCATTTGTGCGGGATTCAAATCAAACATCTACTGGCAAATAAGGCATGTCTTTGATGGTCAGTCTCTTGACAGGCTCCGCAGACAGGGTAGACTAGCTCATACAGCACTGAGGTCTAGTATACTTTCTTATACACTAGAGGCTATTTGTTAAGACTCCCTCAGGAAGCAGAATTGTGGCTATTAGGCTTCAATGTGGGACTTTTAACAATGGGGAAACAATTGGTTTAAGGATATAAAACTGCAGTTGGACAAGAGGCATGGACTCTCTGAAGTCTTGAGGTCTACTGAGAGCATGATAAATATGGTTGATAACAATATGCTATATTTTAAAAGTTGTGAGATAGTATACTTTAAGTGTTCTCAAAACAAAAATGATGAATATGTGTGATATAACATGTTAATTGGTTTAATTTAGCCATGCCATTGTGAACATACTATATTCTGTATCATAATTGTGCATGACTTTATTTATGAACTAAATAAATGAATGGGAAAAAAAAAAAAGACTCCCTCAGGAACCAATGTGTCATGTGCAAAGCAGTTTCCATGAAGCAAGTACACCTGTGCATGATTTTCCTAACAGAATGACACACTGTAATTTGGAAGCAACACAACTCCCACAACAAACACTCCATAGGCCTGTGATTTTTCTGCAGCAACTTAGTCAAAGTTCCAGAGTTTCTCAAGCAGCAGTGGCCATGGCCTTCTAAAGCATTTCTGTAGTTGTTGAACACCTGTCCTGACTGCTTCCACCTATGCCAGAGCCACAAGTAGGTGTTTGGCTTCATAAAAATACGTAAGCACAATTTCCAGATGCTAATGAGTACCCCTTCTCATACCAGCTGCAGTAGATTCTACAACTTAAGAACACTGGCCATTCTAATCACCAAGTCACAGCCACTCACACAGACAGGACCTTACTTTTGGGAAATCTGAAGACAAAGAAGTCTGCCAATCATGGAAAATAAAACACAATTCCAATAAGTCAAAGAATTTTTAGCTCCAATCAACACCATACACCCAACAAATTAAAGACTGGCCATCTGTCTGAGATAAGAAGCTAGAGCTTCTTATCTCAATTTAGCTATTGAAATGCAGAGCCACCCAGCTTAATCATGTCCTATCACATCCTCCAATAAATGTGCCCCTGTAACCCGAAAGAAGTTTATTTTAAGGCACTCAGAGAAAAATTCTCACTCAGTTTAGGAAGAAGACATAAGTTACATGTCTGTGCTGGGACTTTAGTCTCCTGGCATATACACCCAAGTCCTCCAACAGTAGTCTATATACTGTATACAAAGGCAAACATCAACTGAGGGAGGAAGGTGGTACCTTTATGTCTGATGTGGGCTCATTGTTGACTAACACTGTGTGCTGTGGATAAAGACAAAAACCCAATTCCCAAAGTCTAGTGAACAGACATGCCTGCATTAAAGAACCACATAAAAAATGTAAGTGACAAATTATGACTATTACACATGGAAAAGGTGTTAAATTACCTCTTAAGACAAGAAACCTGAAATAATCTGAAAAATCAGGGAAGGGTTCTCTCTTTAAATTTTTATATTTTTTATTGTGTATGTATGGGTGCTTTCCCTACAATGTATATCTGTTTACCTCATGTATGCAATGCCCACATAGGACAAAAGAGGGTGTCAGATCCCCTGGGACTGAAGTTACTTACAGACAGTTGTGAGCCATCATGTGGGTACTGGGAATTGGCTTAGGTCCTCTATAAGTGCACCCAGTGCTCTTAGTCTCTAAACCGTCTCTCCAGCCCCAAGGGAAGGGTTCTCTTTAAAATGAAAATATAATTGATATTGTAAGAGAGGAAAGGGAATTAACCAAACAAATACCAAGACTAATCTCAGGGTAGAAGGCACCTAGCAGGAAAGCTATGGAAAGAAGCTAACATGAGAACAATAGCAAAAGAATGTCAGTGTACTGAGAACACAGCCAGCTAGTGGGGCACCATGACTAAATAAACAGCTATAACCAGTATACTAAATGACATTAGGCACAGAGATCATCTTGAGAGCTTTACTCTTTATCCAAAAAAGAAATAAAAGCACTGGATTATAAAGAGCGCAGTATTCTCCACCTCCCCCTGTTGAATATAGTAAAATATATACAGACTCATGTGTAGCTCCAAGAAGTGACCCCTGTGGGCTTTTTGCTCAGTTTCTCTCAAAAGCAACATCTTCAAAACTGTGCTGTGATATTCCTTCCAGTCAAAACAGCAGCAGAGACATGAGCTATATGACAGTGTCTTCAGGACAAGCATCCTTCCAGTGCTCTTTCAGAATCCATGCAGCTGCCTCCTGCCCTTACCTAAGTGTCCTATTCTGAGATGTACTAAGATCACTATTGCTTTTCTGGAGGATGGACAGGAGGAAACCTAGATGTGGTTTGCAGAGGGTAGGAAATGGCTGGATTAAGGGGAGCTTACACAGTGATAGACAGATCACAGCCAAAGGTGCCACTGCTACAGATTATCCAACTGTCAGGGATTGTCAGGGACTACAGTTCCCTGAGAGGAAACTGTAAAACACGAGGGTGAAGATTTTTGGAGACTGACATTTCACTAAGACCTGCAGATAGAAGTTTCACAAACTGACTACAGCAGCGGTATCTCAGGAAGAACCCACACTGTTTTTTGGGGATACCTAATAACCTTGGACAGTAAAAGGGGGGTGGGACAACTTCCAGTCAAAATGCAAAATAAGCCAGTACTCGCTCCTCTAAACTAAGCAATAGTAAATAGTCCTGAATAAGCAATTTAATAAGTTTATGGTCTGCATAATCAATTTAATAGGAGGAGATTCACTTGAGATACCCTAAAAAGCACCTTCCATGGTGACTTATATGTACTCATCTAAGAGGAGTCTGGACCACATGCTAAGATAGGTGACAAGACCCTGAACTCAATCCAATGTAATGCTAAAACAAGCAGTTACAATCAATATAAGAACTAATGTCAAATACTGTAGAATGTTTGAGGGAGCACAAGGATGGAAACCTAAACCAGGCAGTGGTGGCGTGTGCCTTTAATCCCAGCACTTGGAGGCAGAAGCAGACGGAGGCCAGCCTGGTCTACAGAGTGAATTCCAAAACAACCATGGTTACACAGAAAAACCCTGTCTCAAAAAAACAAAAAACTAACAAATGAAGACAAACAAAACAAAACGAAACATGGACGCCTAACTCATTTAAACAATAGCAGCCACATAAAGGAATAGAACAAGTCTATCCTGGAGAAAAGGAGAACAGTGTAAATAGTAGTGGTAGAAACATGTGTCAAGACAAAAAAAGCAAAGAAAGCCACAAAGAAAAGCAGCATCCTCTCTGAAGGGTTTCAAGTTAGTCAAGAATGCCAAAACACAGGTCTATGAGAAGAGTGGGCAGGTAATTGAAGACAGAGATCACAGAGTGGAAAGAAACAGTTTCTATACATGGCCGGGGAGGCAGGTGAGGAAGCAAGAGCACCTGGGCTTGAACCCTAGTCCTTACTATGTGGGCAGTGGTGGGAGAATCTCATGACAAGCCCAGTCTCCTCACAGGCAAAATGAGCTCCATATACATTCCTGTTTTGTGTGTGACTGAGTGACTAAGCTCTGAATGCTTCTTGGTATACAGGAGGTACTCAGCACACCTTAGCCATTACCAACACAAAGTACCGTCATTGACAGCAATGTAAGCATAAACCACTAGAGTTTCTAGTGTATCTAGAGCAGTTCTGCAGCTGCCATCCTGTTACTTAATAGTACAGCTATGCCCTAAGTCATAGTCTCCCTAGCAGACACGTTTACATCTTTCAGAGTTAAGTAACATTCTGCATACTATAGACACTTAAAGATTTGAAAACCAAAACAACAAAACTACAGCAAGACTATTAAATTTGCTAGTGTCAATAAAATGCACAGTAAATATTCAGTGAAAACTATGCAGTAACATTGTGAGTCACACATGAGTGTCAAAGGAGTACCACACAGAGAAAGCCAACAAGAAGCACTTGAAAACTTTGGACCCAAGACCTGGTAACTTCTCTTATCAAACAGACACACATTTTAGTAAGCTCTATCTATGTGCTATGTTTCTGCACTTCAAAACCCCAAGGTCTGGACAGATGAATGCCAGGAATGAGAGTCTAGGTCATGTCATGGTTCTAGATTTTAAAACCAGCTAAAAATAGGCATATAAACAAGGGTACATGACCTTGATCTCAAGGACTGGGGTGGAGGTGGGGAAGCATACTCAAGGTTTCAAGTATCAATCTACCCAGGGTCATGGTCAGCATGGGGAGAGCTACAAGTCCAAAGAAGGTCAGTGACAAGACAGAAACTCCGAAACAAAGGAACCAAACATGAGATCAGATTAAAATCTATTGCTACAACAAAGTCCATGAAGAGCAGATTAATTTCTCCATGCTGATGAGAAAACACAAATTG